CACCATAACGAAAGAAATAACACCAAGCCCGTACGTTTCGTCGTCATAAACTCATCATCACCATATGTCGTAATTTTTAGGACAATAATGAATAAGTCCAAGGCCATAGCATCGACCATTCATGGTGTGGTTCAATTCCACACGATGCCCGGAGTAGGAACAATACCAATGATAGTGTCATATTTATACATATATTATGCATTATTTTAATACATTTGAGCTATATTTTGGTGCAAAGATATTTGGTACTTACATTGTACAAATTCTATTTTGCAGCCAAAAAAGACATTCTCAAAGAAAAAGGATTGAAATTGAAGAAAGCTGGAAACTTGGAGCTTACATTGAGAGGAGAAGAGAGAAAGAAATCATGCATAATTAACTTCCTACGTCGTGCAAAACTACATCCCATGACATGGAATTTGGAATCTTCTCGATTCGTGCATGAAAAGTGTCTCATGACGTGAACATCTATTGGTCATGATGTGACTATGTGTCAATCATAGAATCTTCTTCGGACTTGCATGGAAGCCTTGGCTCATACGAGATTAATATGTTTCCCATGACGTGACTCTCATATTGTCACGATGTGGAAAACAATTTTTAGGCAAGTATATATTTCATACTTTAGGGCAAAATCAAAAGACTTTTGGCTGGAGAGCTGCGATTGAAAAGCGACCAAAATCCTTCTAAGAACCATTGGAAGGTAGAAGAAGATTAGAGATCAAGAGTTTTAGAGATTAGAGCAAGAATACCACATAATTCATTCGGTTTGCTTAGACTTAATCATGTTTAACCTATCTTTCTATTTGATTTTGTTTTTTTTCTTCTATGATTATGGGCTAATACCCTTTAACTTTCGTTTAGATTAGATGATCCCTATTACTATGTGTTAGTTTCTCTTTTCATGGATTATAGAAGTTGGTTTAGCTTGTGTTTGATAAATCACTACCTAATATGTTAAAGTTTCTATCTTTACTGTTTATCATTCAAGTGTTGTGTAGTTAGATGACTATTTTGATTGCATAAACTTGTTATCCTAGTTATTTATGACCATTAAGTTACTAGAGCTAGTGATTTACCAAATCCTAGATTAGGTGATAAAGTTAGTATCTTAAACTATGCTAGAGAGAATTATCTGATCATAATATGTTCTTTAGTTATTTGTCTTGTTCACAGATAATTAATACTTAGATTTATCATTCATAGCCCAAAATCTTCATATTCAATTAAATGCCCCACTTGTGCAAGACCATTGCCTAGTAGTGCATGAATTGGTGAAAAACATTAGGATATCGGACCAAGACTTCTAGTAACATTTAATTTGGTAACCAACTGAAATTAATCTATGTATTGAAATTAACCATAGGAAATAGGATGATCAGAAGGAAAACGGAAGTATCTTTATCTCTTAAATTTAAAATCGTCTTTTCTTGTTCCTTTAGTTTAAAAGTTTTTAGTAATTAATTAAATTAATATTGACTTGCATAATCAGATGAAACTCGCCCAATTTTTGTTTTTTTCTAATTTAACTTTTAGTCATTATTTTATTAATAAAAATACCGTTCACTGTGATCGATTCCTTATTAATAAAAAAACCCGCCCACTATGGACTCTGCATGGTCGGTAATCTCCTACGCATCTAATGTATAAGCTCAGTTGTCTTGAGCATAACCTTAGTGGTCCCCATAAACATCTGACTGACCTCATCCCAACAAATGAGAGTCTGAAACTTCCTCCCATAAAGCAACTCGAAGGGAGGCATACCAATACTAGAGTAAAATTTGTTATTGTAGGAGAACTCAGCCAACGGTAGATATAAATCCCAGATCCCATCAAAGTCAAGTACACAACTTAGCATATCCTTAGGAGTCTGAATCGTCCTCTCACTATATCCATCTGTCTGAGGATGATAAGCAGTGTTGAAATGTAACCGAGTACCCAAATTGTTGTGGAGCCTCTTCCAAAACCTGGAAGTAAAATCAAACATCCTTGTCAAAAATCACTGAAATCGGAACCCTATGGTGAGAAACCATAACTTTGATGTAGATATCAGGAACTTATCAGCCAAGGAACTCTGCTGAATGGAAATCAAATGGGAATTCTTGGTCAATTTGTCCACAATGGCCCATATAGCATCCGAACCACGAGTAATATTGGGTGGCTTGGTAATAAAATATATGGTAACTTGCTCACATTTTCACAACGGAATATCCAACAGCAGCAACTTTCCATGAGGCCTCTGATGCTTGACTTTAACTTTACGGCAAGTCAAACACCTCTCGACATACCAAGCCATATACCTCTTCATGGAGGACCACCAATAATCATGTCTCAAGTCCATGTACATCTTAACTGAGCAGCAACGATTATTACTCAAACTCATGCCTTATGATTTTCCTGTTATTCATCGGAATGGGAAAGAGAACCAGGGTTTTGATGTATTATCTAGACGACCACATACTGGTGAAGTATTGACTTTAATTGTTCCCTATTGTGTAGAGGTTGATGACATAAAAACAGGTCTTCAAACGGATACCTATACAAGCGACATCATCCAAAAGCTGTCATCTAATCCCTCCTCCGTTTTGGAGTTCCTTTATGTACATCAGTTTTTATTCTATAAACGTCACCTAGTGATACCGAATATACCAAACCTCAAAGTCAAAATTTTACAGGAATCTGACAATACCCCAAGTAGTGGGCTTGGGGTTTCTTAAAAACTTACAAACGCCTGGTCATTTTTCAGCCACGTATGGAACAAGAGGTTAGGTTATTTGCGAAGATATTTTGATGAACTTCATTGTGGGTTTACCACCATTGGGTCGGTTTGACACAATTTTGGTTGTTGTGGATTGTTTAAGTAAATACGCTCATTTTATTTGCTTATTTCATCCTTTTACTGTTAAGGTGGTGGCCTCAATATTCTGTAAGGAGATTGTACGTGTACACGACTTTCCCCGTTCTATTCTATCCGACAAGGATGTGGTTTTTCTTAGTCATTCTTAGCAAGAGTTATTTTGGTTAACCAAAACCATGCTGCAATTGAGCACTAGTTACCACCCGCAAACTAACGGACAAACATAAGCTATTAATCATTGTCTTGAGGCCTACCTTCGTTCCTTTGCCCATGAACAACCGATGAAGTGGTGTGCATATTTACCGTGGGCTGAATATTCATATACAATCGATTATCACACTTCTATAGGTACCACCCCTTTTATATGGTTTATGGCAGGGAGCCACCTTCCCTTCTTCCTTATATCATGGGTGAAACTAAAAATGTCGAATAGGAATAGCAGCTGGTGCACCGAGATGATATGTTAAAGTTGATTTGTCACAATCTTCATAAAGCTCAAGATCGTATGCAAAACCAAGCTAATTCTAAACGTCGTGGCATCTCTTTCCAAGTGGGTGACTATGTCTTTTTGAAAATACAACCTTACCGTCAGAGAAGTTTAACTAATCACAGATTCAAGAAGTTGTATCCACATCTTTTTGGACCCTACCATATTACACGTAAAGATGGTCCAAGTCTCATATTCATCCGATCTTTCATGTTTCCATGCTTAAACCAATTCAAGGCATAATTTCATCCATAGCTATTGATGTATTGCCCACTAAAAAGGATTCGGAGATTGATATCCATACACACTCCGTTCTTGCTCATCGTTAAATCTACAAAGCATGCAAACTGGTTTTGGAATTGCTAATTTCTTGGTTTGATTGACCTTTGGAAGAAGCTACTTGGGAAACATATGATTTGTTAGCCAACCAATTTCTAAATTCTCCTTGAGTACAAGGCTTTTTACCGGGAGGGGTGTAATGATACAATTTCGGTTAAAGTGTACACAAGGAAAAAGAAACGGGTCAACAAGACGAACTTGGAGCAACTTAATTTGATCTTTGGGTATTGGTTGGATGCAAAACAGTATCAGGATAATGGAATGGTGGGGAGGAGTTCACAAATCCCATTTCAAGGAGCAGTTAGTAACCGTTAGTAGTATTAGTAGCAAGCTATGTTTTTATTTTAGTTAGTTTAGATTTTATCAGAGTATTATGTTTGTATCGGAGACTTTGTCCCTCTCAAATCGGGCCACTTTAGTTCAGTTCATTCAATCAGTTGTCTACTTATTTCATCCAAAATTTATCATTCAATGTTTTAAAAGGAATCAAAACTAGAAGTGTTATTCTTTCATATAAAAATATTGGAAGTTAGATGATATTGAATTAATTGGGTTTATTTTTTGAAGTACAATGCTTTAATAGGAAGAATTACAAAGAGGATGCTCTAATAAACAATTATATCATCGTACATCCAAACTATTAGGTAGATTTCTTATATTATCGCATTGTATTTTGAAAAATCTGTCTATTTATAGAATTTATGTTTTCTTAAAAGTAGGGCACTATTATTAGAAAGAAATAAAAATAGGTCGCTATGTTTTCATTTACTATTGTCTCAACTTAATTGCTTTACTTGACGTATGAGAGATGTATGCAATAACGTTTCATCGTTTTCCAAGTTTATGCAACAAAGTTCTTTTTATGCAAAAGTGTTTCATTTTAGGACTCAAAGATGCAATATTTAACAAAAAAGGTTGTTATGCAAATAATAGCAATGTGCTTTATCTTCTTTTTTAATTACAACGTCCTTCATTAATACATTCATGTTGTATTGGAAATAAATGAGGTAGAATGCTAGATTAAACAAATAATGGAAGTATGTTGCGAATTCCTTCATTTAGCCCTATTATTCCACATGCTTGCAATAATTTTCCAATTCACATAATCAATTTTCAATTCCTAACAAATTTCAGAAAATATAAGTATGATGCAATTTAGACTAAAAAAAATATAAGTGTAAGTACGACGCTATTCTGTCTGTTTATGTTTGTTATGAAATTAAAAAAAAAATCCTAGGATAACCAAGGATGTTAACAGGGAAAAACGAGGACATAGATAACATCCCCTTCTATCGCACCTGAATTTGCATGTTTCCCTCATTCTGAATTTGCATGTTTCCTTGATTCTGACCCCAATCTTGAATTCTCCCGTTTCCCCGCCTCGATCCCACCCCCAAATTTCAATATCACCCTTGCTTCCGCTTTGTGTTTCCCCGAATCCCCCTTTTGACACAAAATCTCCCTTTTAACCTTATTTATCCTATTTTTCACTCGTTTATTTTGTTTAACGTTAAAAATTAGACTAATTAGTCAAATAAAAAACATATATATTACACAATGGTTACTCTAATTTTAATTATTATTATTTAAATAAAATAATTAAATATAGGGTAATGATTTCGGGGCCCCCGCGAGATATTCAGCAACCCTGAATACTAAACGCGAGGGGAGGGGGGGTAAATCACCCCGTCCCTTGCCCTCAAATTTGAAAAAATTATAAAAATACCCTCTGTATGGAAACGAGGTCCCGTAGGGTCAGGGCCCATAGAGTTTTTTGACATCCCTAATGATAATGAATAGTCAAAGTTAAATTATCAATTTAAACACCATAATTTGAAGAGATGACGGATGTAGATTGTCAAACTGTAAATTTTGGTTGTATGTATTCCTACACTGGATCACATCAATAATCCTTTTGTGATGAACAAGATTCGGAAGCTGATCTATGGTGGGATTTTTCCCTTTGCAATGTAGGTTTTGATTTTTGAAGTTATTGATGGTCGAATTAGAAGTGTTAGATTCGTATTAGTTGATATGTTTATCACAATTTACTTTCAACAAAAATTATTATTTAGCTCCTGACGCAACGTGTGAGCTTAAAGCCCTCGTTATAAGACACAAATATCAAATTCCATTATTGTTTCTTACAAGGAATCATTAGCGAGCCACCTTATCAACATGCTTAAACATTCTTTAGGTTTGTACTCTGGAGTTGTGTGACCTCCTCCCTTTAACATCACAAAATAGGCAACCATCATAATCGTAACAATAAATGTTTCTTTTCATGAGGAAACTTCAAAGTTTCTTATTGGGAAAATGACAAAAATGCCTTACGAACTTTCTAGGGTTACCCGTTGAGTCCCTAAAGTTTTTGTTGGGCTTTATGGGTCCCTAAACTAGGATATGACATGCTCTTTTAGTCTCCGTCAACCTGTAATAGCCGGTTCAGTGACCTTTTAGACCAAAAAAACTCACATTGTGCCCCTATAAAGCCAAGAAAATAAGTTCGGGGATCAATTCGTACAAAAAAACTCTCATTTTCTTCTAAAGTCGATTCACACTCAATTCGAAGAAAAAAAGAGATTAACTCTCGTTTTCTCTGTCAACCTCATCAAACCCACGCATCCTTCTCAACATCGCATCCATCAAACCTGAAACTCAGAGGGAGAAGGAGAGGTAGCTTGTGCGATTTTGAACAAAGAAGAAGGAAGGAGGGGGGTCAATTCCTTGAAGAGATGAAATCGAATCAAAGAAAATAGTGGAATGGGGTTGTGATCGAGAATCGATTAGAAGGGGAAGAGGGTTGTGATCTTCGGTGAGTGTGTGTGACGATCAAGGGTGAAGACGGAAAGATGAGCAACGATCGATTTCTTGGAAGGGTATGAATTGAGTTTTTTTGGTCTAAAAGGTCACCGAACTTATTTTTTTGGCTTTATAGGGGCATAATGTGAGTTTTTTTGGTCTAAAAGGTCACCAGACCGGCTATTACAGGTTGACACGGACTAAAAGAGCAGGTCATATCCTAGTTTAGGGAGCCATAAAGTCCGACAAAAACTTTAGGGACTCAACATGTAAACCCTAGAAAGTTCATAGAGCATTTTTGTCATTTTCCCTTTCTTATTTCAACAGGTTTAACAAATAGTCATCATAATTAGAAAGTCAAATATTATAAATTTTCACCTTTAGAGTAGCATATGTCAAGTTGTATTCATGGTTTGAATATTTCATGGTGTATCTGCAAGAAAATAAGATAAGAGCATAATGTCGATATATTATTAGTTTTAGCTTTTATTGTGACAAAAGCAATGAAAACAGAACTAACCCAACTACTTGTTTGTCGACAAACCAAGGTCTCCAATCATTCACAACTAAAAAATTTAGAGATTTAATCCAGTGCATTGTTCCCAAATATGGAACGACCATGTCATGATCTCCACTGCACAAACATAAACACAAACATGCAGAATGTAATGGATATTTGTTTTCTTTTGATGAAATAATTCAGAAGTCATAAGTTTATTTAGTTTATTATGTTATTAGTTAAATGCATGTTTTGTTTGCATGATTGAATAAGTAAAAGCCATGTGGGCTATAGTACCGAGTCTTAAGCCTAGTGGAGTTAGTTGCTGCTTATTTGCATATTTTTAGCTTTTAAATAGTTTAGTTTTCTGTACGTTGAGGTCGTGACCCTCATTTTTCAATTCAGTGAATAAAGCTTCAAGCTTTAAGTACTTCCAGTGCTCTGTTTTTCTTGTTACTGTTCCATTGTCATTTTTCAAGTTACAGGCTTGTGAAAAGCCAACATCTTTCAAGTTCTTAGCGTTTGAACCAGGACAAAAAAGAATAGAATAGTTCATTACATTAGAATAAAAAATTGTTTTTGTTGTCCAATGGAATGTAATAGACCATCTTTATAGGAATGCTCCACTCCATTCCAATGTGACAAACAAACAACCTTTTTTTTTAATTCTAGAGTATTATACCATTCTATTCCCCCTTCAATTATTACATACCAAACTCTGTCTAAATATCACATGCATGCATGAATAAGATAGACCAAAAGTGGACAGATGGGAGAAAGGGAAAATGAAAATTAAGAAGAATAGCTAAGGGTAAATGGGTAATACCTGAATACAAGAGCGCGACAATTTTTATTGGCAAGGTGTTTATGATAGGCAACAGTATTCAGGACATTGTGTGTGTTAGATATGGGTTCCGTAAAAAAATCAAAAAACAGACTTTTATTGCACCGCACCCATTTGATTTTATCGAATTCCTGGTGGTCATAAGATTATTATCCCATCACATTGTATTCAAGAGACATGAATAGAACTCAGCTTACTATGAACTACAAACCTCATCAATATGAAGAGCCTCTCGCACGTCTCTGCGGTTAGCCCATACATAGCTGTATATATAGTGGTCATCCTGCATGAAGTATATAAAAAAGAAAATAAATTATAAAAATTAATAGGTTTCATATTTTTCCCTTGTTTCAAGACAAAAACCATTTTCTCCATGTTTTTCTTTCGAATGAAGGAATTTTTTTGGGGGAGGGGATAGAAGGGAAGCAAATAGTTTAGAGAGAGTAATACGCGACACCCTTGTATCCGAACTTGAGGTAACGACCATATATCCATAGAGGCCTTGTCAAGAGATACTAAGCCCCTCCCGAAGTGATCAGATTTTAAGGTATTTGAAGTGTCACAAGCAGGCTCTAGAATTTGGGGCTTGTTAATTCTTCCAATACACTGACATCGAAATAGAAAAAACATGTATCAAACTCAATACATACTCTCAAGATGCCATTACTAGCTAGCTAATGATCCAATTTAAAGTGTAGCTCATGTACCTTATCCACAACTTTAAGATCATTTATGCAACGATGGTTGTTGGGATCTACATCCAAGTACTTTCCGTGGCAATTTTCTTTAGTAGACTGCAAAAATTGATATGCAACTTAATTGTTAGTCGTATTACAAAAATGATATACGGGCACTTGCTGTATTAGTGGACAACTCAATTGTAGTTATTTACTTTGTAGATTTCATTTGATAAGAGTCCCGTACGATGAAGAAATGGGATTCTTGAATTATAGTCGCCACTTGTGTCTGTTAGAGGATTACCAAGCATGTACCCCTAATTTGAAAAAAGATATATCAAATTCAATGATCTATGAAAAGATTATATGAATATTTTCCAAGCATTGCGGTTGATCAAATTCAGTGTAATCAAGATTCAAACTCATGCACCTATATATAGTTATTTTAGAATGTGTAAAAAGGAATTAACACAAGCTAACCGCCGATAAATAAGAAATTCGACTTATCCAAGTGATTGATCAATTTGTACCTTGATCTTTATCTGTGGCCCTTCTCCAACTTCATTACCTATAAAAGAGGGAAACAAAGCAAGCTCTATAGCACAGACTTCAAGTATTTAAGAATCAAACTAGTGTTTTTCAAGCACAGCTCTATAACAAGAACTTCAACTATTTTTAGAATACCTTTGTATATTTCGTTAACAATCATTGGTGCCACTATGCCCATGTAGGACTCACCTCCAAGATAAAATGGATTGTTGAGAAATTTAGGATGATCCACAAGCCACTGGTGTGATAGACATAGCAAACAAAGATTCATGATCTTAGCTAATTTTACGTCTAAACCAGACAGATTGCAATATGATCCCGATGCTTGTATGACATAAATGTGTCATCAATTGCCTCATATATTGAAAAAGTCAGTTATGGAATTAGTAAACAATCCATTTACAAGAAAATAAGTAGAGCATATATGCTAACGCCTTCAATTTGTAGATGGCTTTATTTCTTGGTGAGATATGTTAACTGGAAAAATGAAACTTGTCAGCACAAAGCTACTGTACCTTCCTCAGAAAATGGTATGCATGCATTGATGATAACGTATCATTTGTTATGTAAGCGTCACGAGTTTTTGCATAGGAAAATCCGGTCCCAGCAGGTTGATCGAGGAATATTATGTTGGCCACCTAAAATGCAACCAAGATTTCATTATATTAAAAAACTATTACTCCTTGGGCTGATTAACCTCAAACATACCATAAAATTAAAAATAAAAAACCCACCACATTAAAGCATATCTAATAAGAGCTTTTGTTTCTATTATCTGTTGTGTGCATTGTATGATTGATTTTTGAACCAATCATTTTAGTTATTTTAAAAAAGTAATTAATATATATTAAATGCTGAACATTTAATTAATAGTCATTATATCTTCAACATTTAATATGCATTTATTAATTTCTTAAAATAACTAAAATGATTGGTCCATAATCAATCGTACAAGTACACAATAGATAGTTAGAACACAATAACGTAAACCTATATATATATATATATATATATATATATATATATATATATATATATATATATATATATATATATATATATTTTTATTTATATTTTCGGTTGTTTGCAACATTTTCGATAGATGGGGATAAAATAGTTAAATTAAAAAAATAAAGATAAAAAAATAAAAAATAAATAAAAACTATTTGAAAAAGTTAACCATTAGAGATATCATTTAATTAAAAGTTTAATTTAATGAGTGGATGAGATGATAATAATTTTGAGTTGTAGCATAGGTTAGGTTGATCATTAAAGATGTTCTTATGTATTTATAAAGAATATGTATTTATAAAGAACACTATGGCAACTCAAAAATAACTACTGAAAATGAAGCCACTTATATTTCATTATTTCATACCTTTCTCTTATATATCAATTCAAATTTCCACACATATTCTAGCAGATTAAGGCATGTGTAAATACATGGTAACAAATAAGCACCTTTGTCCAACTGTGGGGGTTTTTCTCGAGTATTGGTTTCTCCAAAGTGGAATTTACATAGTTGAAAGTGAAGGGGCCTGTAGACATAACCACAAACACATTTAATAATATATATATATATATATATATATATATATATATATATATATATATATATATATATATATATATTTGCCATATATCATATTCTCATTCATTTTGCCACATGTTATTTTGTGGTTATTTTAAATTAATTTTTTCTAAGTCATTTATGGTTTTATTTTATTTTATTTTATTAAATTATACATACTATTTTAAGATAATAATAAATGAATATCAAATTTATTAATGGACTTACCTTTTAATTTCAAAATTCTTAAATTAAAGCCCCATTATTTTATTTTTGTTTATTTATTAAATATATTTTTTTAGATTTAAAAGAGCAAAAAACACTTCAATTTTAATAACTTAATATTTTTCTCATTTGTCTCATAAATTAAAATTTCTCAAATATTTACACTTATCATTCATCGGTAACCTACTCCATCCTTCTTTGCACCCATCATCGGTCTAACACCCCACCAGCGCTCCACCAAAGCTTCGCCTTGCTAGAAACCCTCCGGGATTATATTGTGCTCGAATGAATCCACTTTTCCATCCATAGCTTCCTTAGATTCTTTTTGTCTTTTCCGTTGATGGCCTCACACTGTTCCATTACAAAAATTGTTTCCTTTGACAGGTTCTGATTTTCGTTGCTTTCTTTGATGGGTTCCGATTTTGATTGCTATTGAAAGTCCAGTTTTGATTTTCAATATCTATAGGTGCATATGGATGTTCTATTGTATGATTTATGTTTTTGTTGGTTTTTTAATGTTTATGTGTTTGCTGAAGGAGAAATAAGTGGCTGAAAGTGTTGTTGGAGTCTATATGTTCCATGGAATGTCTCAAAGAGTGTATAACTGATGTTTTTGGGGTTAATTTGTGATTACTAAAGTTAGGGTGGATCAAATTCATGGAGAAACAAAAATGATGTTGGAAGTAGTGTATACTATGTGTAAGATTTTGGGGTCTTAAAATATCAATTAACTTGGATAATTTTTGGGATCGTGATTGTAATCACTTTCTAAAATCTATGATTTCGACCCTTAGGCCTGGGGTATCACGAAATCCGTTTTGGGATAATCCAAAAAATGAAATTTGGAAATCAGGCCACTTCTAAATTCGAAAAACTGAAAATATACCTCGTTTTGCTTTCTTTTGAGATACAGAGAACCAGAAGTACGATTTTTGAGGGTAAGTTTTGTCACCTGTTTTCTAGAACATGTTGTATGTTCTTATATAAGAGTGAAAAATAGTTGATGGTTGTTACATGCAATTTTGGCGCCAAAACAAGTGGTTAGATATATGGTTATAAGACATAACTGATTCTGACATCACAGTGATGTCACCATTTATAATTGGCAGAAACACCGTTAGGGGTCTAGGGGCGCTGCCCCTAGACCCCACCAAGGGGCTGCAGCCCCTTAGAACCCTGCATCCATGGGCGCTGCCCTCGAAACCCCGTATTCTTGAGTTTACAATAATCACACCGAGCGTGCACCCCGCACCTCCAAGCTCGGTTAGTAAATGAAACTTGTTCTATCTCATTATTAATAATAATTACACCAAAATATATTGATAACACTAAAATCACCAACACTATATTTAAATTTTGGTCCAACATACTACTTCTTGAAGTTACTAATGTTGAAAAAAATTATTTCCTGTTTTGAGGCTGCAACCTGGTGTACATGTACAACAACAGTTACAGAGCCAAAAGGACTATGAAACTGGCTTCAAATATTTTTATGAAATACTACGCTAGGTTCTCTAATTTACTTCCACAGTTTCACTTTGAGTATATAGATCTACATTTATATGTTTTTATATTATTTAATTGTATCCCTAAACCATATGTTTCTATATGTGATGTTGCCTTTAAAATATACCCAACACACTTGGAACTTTAATGGTTTTGTGGTGTTTTTTTTTTAATTTTGGTTTTGATGGTCAAACTTTCCTTTTGTTATCTCTGTAAGACTGTTAAGTTAACACGCACAGGTTTATGTTATGTTACTATAGTATTTCATTTATAAATTCCATTACAATGCCAATTGTGCATCTCTGGTTCATGCATATTCATCTCATTCTGATTAGTTCGTAAGTCCTACTCCAGGTTCGCGTTGCCTTTTATAAATATTTGTGATATATTTTTAAGATCTTAGGTTTCTAAATTCCTTTTTATGTGATATATTTGGCATCAGTTGTCTGAATGTGAACTTTACGTTTCGTGGTGTATTCAACTGTTGTGGAAGTGCGAGGCCCACTGGTGCTTCTGGTGGGGTGGATAGGCGGGGTAGGTGTTGCAGTCTGCGTGATTCAGGTGTTGGTCATGGTGTTAGTTGACCAATGTTCCTTTTTAGTCCTAATGATTGGCAATGTCCCATGTGAGTACATAAGAAGTAAAATTCTATTTATTTCAGTTTTGTTATAAAATAATTTCTTATGGTTGAATCTACTTACAGGAGTTGCATTATCAAGAATGTTGAAAATGAAATATGTGACACCACATATTGCATACTAATACCTTAAATTGTCTTAGAACTTCTTCAATACCACTCAAGTTAAATATTTAAAATGAAACAAGTAACCTTATTGAGCCCCTTTAGAAGTCACAAGTATATGTTTCTTCTTCTTCCTTTTTTTTCTCTTTCTTCTAGATAGTTTATTGTTTTGATCTTGATACTTTTTGTGTATGTAGTATGTACTGGTAAAAGGATGGGAGGGAACAAGTTTGAGTTCTATTGGGACCTGGGGACTAAAAGAACAAAGATGAGGAAAATGTTGCTTCCGCTACTCGTGGTATTATCTCCTTTTTAATATATATATATATATATATATATATATATATATATATATATATATATATATATATATATATATTCGGTTGATTCTGAGAACTATGTGACAAAAGTACTATGCATTTGGATGATGTTGGGGTTGAAACACACTTTTATTCAGAACTAGAACAAAAGAGAAGAGCTTACACACTTAATATTACAAAAAAAAAGAAACAACCCTCTAATACTCACTCTAAGTATTACACACTACACTCTCTGTTTTGTGGTGTCTTACAACTGAGGTTAGAGCCTCTATTTATACTTAAATAAGCCTACAATTACTACTGCTACCATTTATTGTGTTCATTATGTGAACATACGAAGTTGCCATTTGAGTTCTTATTGTCAACAAAGGAGGGATTCATTTGTCAACTAAAGAGGGTGGTACAGCTACTCATGGCAGGTTCACACCCAAATAGGTTTACACTCACATTCTCCCCCTTAAACCTAACTTGGCTCGAGATTCGTCACTCCGATCATGTTTCGCATTTCACCATGTTTCACGTATGCTAAAGCCTTTGTAAAGATGTCCGCCCGTTGATCCTTCGAGTTGACATATTCCACTATAATTTGCCCACGTTCAACACATTCTCGTATGAAGTGATAACGAATGTCAATGTGTTTGCTTCGACCATGAAACACATGATTTTTCATCAATGCGATTGCTGACTTGTTATCGACATATAAGGTGATAGGCATAATATGATGTCCCGTGAGCTCCTTCACGAGATTAGCAAGCCAAATGGCTTGACATGCTGTTGTTGTAGCTGCCATGAACTCGGCTTCACACGTGGACAAAGCAACAGTCTTTTGCTTTTGGGATTGCCAAGTTATCGCATTCCTTCCCAGATAGAAAATCATTCCACTTGTGCTCTTGCTATCAACAGGGTCACCTCCAAGATCACTATCGGTAAAACCAACCAAATCTTCAATTTCACGACCTCTTCCATAGTTGATTCCATAATCAACAGTTCCTTTTACGTATCGCAAGATGTGTTTCACAACTTGGAAATGCAAAGTGGTTGGTTCCTCCATGAAACGACTTGCAATTCCAACCGAAAATGACAGGTATGGTCGAGTGTGAGTCAAGTACCTTAAACAACCTACCACTCGCCTATATTCAGTTGGATCAACTTTTTCACCATCTTCATCCTTCTTAACCTTCAACTTAGGTTCCATTGGTGACGTTGTCGGATTGCAATCCAGCAACCCAAATTGCTCTAAAATCTTCTTTGCATAAGCCGTTTGTCGCAAAGATATTCCCCACTTCTTTTGCGAAACTTCGATTCCAAGGTAGTAAGAAAGTAATCCCAAGTCACTCATTTCGAATTCTTTCTTCATTTGTTCTTTGAATTCGACAACATCATTAGTGTTCGACCCGGTAATGATCAAGTCATCAACATAGACACCAACAATAAGAATTTTGTCTTTTGAGTTCCTTTTGTAAACAGCTGGGTCTTGTGAACTTTTTGTAAAACCAAGCCTTTTTAAGCTTTTATCCAAACGAATGTTCCAAGCTCGAGGAGCTTGTCGTAGACCATAAAGAGCTTTATAAAGCTTGAACACCTTGTGATTGTTTGCTTTATCAACATATCCTTCTGGTTGGGTGACATAAACCTCCTCTTTGAGATCTCCATTGAGAAAAGCCGATTTGACATCGAGATGGTGGACAACCCACCCATGTTGAGCTGCTAAGGCAAGAATGAGCCTTACGGTGTCAAGTCGTGCTACCGGTGCAAAAACTTCATCAAAGTCGACTCCTTCCTTTTGTACAAATCCTTTTGCTACAAGTCGAGCTTTATGCTTCACCACTTTTCCCAAGTTGTCTTTCTTCACTTTAAACACCCATTTCAAACCGATTGCTTTGTGTCCGGGTGGCAAATCGGTAAGTTGCCATGTCTTGTTCTTCTCGATTGCATCCAACTCTGTTTGCATAGCCTCCTGCCATGCCTTAGAGGTTACCGCCTCTTTAAAATTCAAGGGTTGATCCGCTGCAATCATCAACAATTCTCCGGGTTCAAGGAACACATTTTCGGTTTCAGAATAAATATCGGTTAACGGACGCAATCCCCTTGGCCCAATCTCACTAGAAGGGCTTTCTATATGGGGCGAGGTTGAAGAAAACGGGGCTGAGACAGGAGTATGTGGAGCTGGTTCAGGCTCGTCAAA